AGAAATAGCCAATCTGGGCAAATCTAGCAACTTGTCTAGCTCCTCGCTGCAGCATCCGATGACGATGACACGCATATGCTCGCGAAGCTGCTGATGAGACCTTCAATTTGCACCGCTTCTTGGAATAGCCCGTCCCCTACTTGCCAAGAAATGGCAAGAGGCGTCTGGACCCGAAATTTCAATTTTTTTGGCTCTCGCTCTCAATCAGATACTTCGCTCTCAATCAGGCGAATATGTTGTTTACCGCAATCAGGTGCGTGCATGTTTCTATCGGAGTTGCAACGTTGCGACAGCATGTAAAAGCCCTGCTTGCCCACCATGTTCGCACCTGTGTAGTACTACATATATATTACATGCTCTCGTTTACATCATCGCCAGCAAAACGCCAAATGACAGCATCCACATACTTCCTCTGTATCATAAGTTAGGGTACCTAAATGCAATAGATTGTCTGGGTGCAACCGTGTTAGTGATGGTAGCAAAGTCGGGTTTGTACGAAAGATATAACAAAGACGAAGCGATAGAAAAAAAGAAGAAAAAAAACATCTATTTCTGTACCTAATATTGGTCAAAATATACCCTATTTTGGCCTGTTTTGGGAATATTATTGGGAAAATATTTTGAGATTTTTTTGAGAATTCTCGACAAAATTCTCAAAACCATCTAATATTAGTACCCTACCGGCCCACTACTCACTCTAGCGATGGAATCGCCCCCCAGCACACCACCTCGCAAAAGGGGCACCGAATTATCGGTTGGTAGGCGCTATGCCATGGCGGTAGGAATTGTCGACTTTTTCTATTTTTTCCCCGCCACCAACCAACCCTTCTTTTTGTCCCGCAAGTGTCTTGATTTTAGTGTGCCCCCCAAGTGTATTGGTTTTAGTGTTGTTCACTACTATACTGCTTTTAGTATAGGGGGCGCGACATGGATCGTTGAGTAGAGGGGGGGGAACAACATATTCGCCTGATTGAGAGCGAAGTATCTGATTGAGAGCGAGAGCCAAAAAAAATGAAATTCCGGGTCCAGACGCCTCTTGCCATTTCTTGGCAAGTAGGGGACGGGCTATTCCAAGAAGCGGTGCAAATTGAAGGTCTCATCAGCAGCTTCGCGAGCATATGCGTGTCATCGTCATCGGATGCTGCAGCGAGGAGCTAGACAAGTTGCTAGATTTGCCCAGATTGGCTATTTCTGCTCAA